AAAAAAGAAAAAAAAAAAAAAAAAAAGAAAAAGATAGGAAAAAAAAGAAGAAAAAAGAAAAAAAAAAAAGATAAAAAAGAAAGTCTAAAAAAGATGAGAAAAAGATAAAAAAAAGAAAGAAAAGATAAAAAAAAAAAAAGAAAAGAAAGATAGGAAAAAAAGAAAAAGATAAGAAAGAAAAAAAGAAAAGATAAGAAAAAAAAAAAAGAGAAAAGATAAGGGAAAAAAAAAAAAGAAAGAAAAGATAGGGTCGCCTAAAAAGATGAGAAAAGAAAGGGGCAGAAAAAGATAAAAAAAAGAAAGGGTCGCCTAAAAAAAAAGAAAAGAAAAAAGAAAAAAGAAGAGAAAAGATAAAAAAGCCTAAAAAGATGAGAAAAGAAAGGAAAAAAAAAAAAGAAAAAAAGAAAGGGTCGAAAAAAAAAAGATAGAAAAGAAGGGTCGCCCTAAAAAGAGAGAAAAAAAGGAAAAAAAAAATAAGAAAAGATAGGGAAAAAAAGAAAAGAAAAGAAAGGTAAAAAAAAAAGATAAGAAAAGATAGGGTCGCCTAAAAAGATAAGAAAAAGATAAGAAAAGATAAGAAAAAGAAAGAAAAGATAGAAAGAAAAAAAAGAAGAAAGAAAAGAAGGGTCAGAAAAAAAGATAAGAAAAAGAAAAAAAAGCAGAAAAAGATAAGAAAAGAAAAGGAAAAGAAAAAAAAGATAAGAAAAGATAGGGTAAGAAAAAAAGATAAAAAAAAGAAAAAAAAAGAAAAAGAAAGAAAAAGGGAAAAAAAAAAAGATAGAAAAGAAAAAAAGAAAAAAAAGCAGAGAAAAAAAAAAAAAAAAGAAGAAAAAAGATAGGGTCGAAAAAAATGAGAAAAAAGAGAAAGGGTCGCCTAAAAAAAGATAGAAAAGATAAAAGTGCCTAAAAAAAAGATAAGAAAAGATAGGGAGAAAAAAGAAAAAAAGAAAGGGTCGCCTAAAAAAGAAAAAAAAGAGAGGAAAAAAGCCTAAAAAGATAAGAAAAGATAGGGTCGCCTAAAAAGATGAGAAAAGAAAGGGTCGCCTAAAAAAAAAGAAAAGAAAGGAAAAAAAAAGAAAAAAAAAGAAAGGGTCGCCTAAAAAGATAAGAAAAGAAAAAAGAAAAAAGAAAAAAAGAAAAAAAAGAAAAAAAAAGAAAAAAAAGCCTAAAAAAAAAAAGAAAAGATAGGAAAAAAAAAAGAAAAGAAGAAAAGAAAGGGAAAAAAAAAGAAAAGAAAAAAATAGGAAAAAAATAAAAGAAAAAAAAAAAAGATAGGGAAAAAAAAAGATGAGAAAAGATAAGAAAAAAAAAAGAAAAAGAAAAGAAAAAGATAAGAAAGAAAAAGATGAAAAGATAGGGTCGCCTAAAAAAGATAAGAAAAGATAGGGTGCAAAAAAGATAAAAAAGATAAGGGTTGGAAAAAAGAAAAGAAAAGAAGGAAAAAGAAAAAAGATGAGAAAAAGATAAGAAAGGAAAAAAAGAAAAAAAGAAAGGAAAAAAAAAAAAGATGAGAAAATAAGAAAGGAAAAGATAAGAAAAAAAGAAAAGGTCGCCTTGAAAAAGATAAGAAAAGAAAGGGAAAAAAAAAAAAAGAAAGATAGAAAAAGCCTAAAAAAAAGAAAAAAAAATAAAAAAAGAAAAAAGATAAGAAAAAAAAAGGGGGAAAAAGATAAAAAAGATGAAAAAAGATAGGGTCGAAAGGAAAAAGATAAGAAAAAGAAAGGGTCGCCAAAAAAGATAAGAAAAGAAGGGAAGAAAAAAAAGAGAAAGATAGGAAAGATAAAAGAAAAAAAGAAAAAAAAAGAGAAGAAAAGATAGGGTCGCCTAAAAGAAAAAATGAGAAAAAGAAAAAAAGGAAAAAAAAAGAAAAGAAAAAAAGAAAAAAAGCAAAAAAGATAAGAAAAGAAAAAAAAGAAAAAAAAGATAAGAAAAGAAAAAGCAGAGAAAAGATAAAAAAAAAAAGGGTTGCCTAAAAAGATGAGAAAAGAAGGGTCGCCTAAAAGAGAAGAAAAAAGAAAAGGGAAGAAAAAAAGATGAGAAAAAAGAAAGGGAGAAAAGAAAAAAAATGAAAAAAGAAAAAGAAGAGAAAAAAAAGAAAAAAGAAAGAAAAGAAAAATAAAAAGAGAAAAAGATAAGGAAAAGGAAAAAAAAGATAAAAAAAAAGATGAGAAAGAAAGAAAGAAAAAAAAAAAAGAGAAAAAATAGAAAAAAAAGAAAAAGATAAGAAAAAAGAAAAAAAAAAAAGAAAAAAGATGAGAAAAGAAAAGGGTCGCCTAAAAGAGAAGAAAAGATAAGAAAAGCCAAAAAAAGAAAAAAGAAAGAAAAAAAAAGAAAAAGAAAAAAAAAAAAGAAAAGAAAAAAAAAGAAAAAAAAAGAAAAAAGATAAGAAAGGAAAAAAAGAAAAGATAAGAAAGGAAAAAAAGAAAAAAGAAGAAAGGAAAAGATGAAAAAAGAAAAGAAAGAAAAAGATAAAAAGGAAAAGAGAAAAAAAGGTAAGAAAGGAAAAAAAGATAAAAAAGAAAAAAAAATGAAAAAAGAAAAAAAAGAAGAAAAGAAAAAAAAAGATAAGAAAGGAAAAAAAAAGAAAAAAGAAAAAGAAAGAAAAAGATAAGAAAAAAAAAGAGAAAAAGATAAGAAAGAAAAAAAGAAAAAGAAAAAAGATAAGAAAAAAAAAGGGAAAAAAAAGATAAGAAAGGAAAAAGCAGAAAAAGATAAGAAAGGGAAAAAGATAAGAAAAAAAAGAGAAAAAGAAAAGAAAAGAGAAAAAAAGATGAAAAAAAAGAAAGAGAAAAAGATAAGAAAAAAAAAAAAAAATAAGAAAGAAAAAAGAGAAAAAGAGAAAAAAAGAAAAAAAGAGAAAAAGATAAGAAAGAAAAGAAAAGAGAAGAGAAGAAAAGAAAAAAAGAAAGATAAAAAGAGAGAAGAAAATGTCTTCAGGTTCGAGAAAAAGAGAGAAGAAATTTCAATAAGAAAATTTAATGAAAAGAGAGAGAAGAAATTGAAAAGCTTTAAAAGGAAAGGTGGAGATTTCGATGAGAAAGGAAGAGAGGGAGGAAGACAGAAAGCAAATATGGCGGTAGATTGACCAGAAAGAATGATATTCATCAAAATACAAAAGAGAGAAAAAAAAATATTCGACGAGATGAAACTTAAGATTACGAAAAGCAATTGAAGTTAAAAAATGAAAATCTTAATGATAAGTTGAGATTCTAAATAAAATATAATTGTGAACGAAATAATCATGAGGATAAATAAAGGATTCAATATAACGATTGATCATTTTCGAGCTAAATCTTGACAAGTTCTGGAAAGATCCTTTCAAGAATGATAACAAATTTCCTAAATGCCAAAACATCTTATATATAAAATTTCATACCTTCTGTGGCCTGGGAATTCTTAATCTTTCTTCGAATTCCTGGAAGTATCAATTTGCTTCTGAACTTTTTGAACGAAATTTCGTGCTCCTGTTACTGATTTGCCTGATTATGTTAGAATATTAACAGTCTCTCGGGCGAGGTCCTGGCATTATTTCTTTCTTTTTCTTTTTGGTATCATTTATCAATGGCTACCGGATGTTTCCGTTTAGTTTCGTTTATAATACTCCCTCCTTTCTCCCTTCTCCTTTCTCTCCTCTCCTTAGTCTCCTCTCCTTTCTCCCTTATTCTTTCTCTCCTCTCCTTTCTCTCCTCTCCTTTCTCTCCGCTCCTTTTTCTTCTCTCCTTTCTCCCTTCTTCTTTCTCTCCTCTCCTTTCTCTCCTCCTTTTCTCCCTTCTCCTTTCTCCCTTCCCCTTCTCATTTCTGTCTTTCTCTCTCCCTTTTCCTCTCATTTCCCTCTCCTTTCTCCCTTCTTCTTTCTCTTCTCTCATTTCTCTCCTCCTTTTTCTCCTCTTCTTTCTCCCTTCTCCTTTCTCCATTCTTCTTCTTCCTCCTCCCTCCCTTCTTCTTTCCTCCTTTCTCCCCCTCCTTTTCCCCTCCTTTTTCTCCTTCTCCTTTCTTTCTCTCCTTTCTCTAAATTTCCTCTAATCTATCCTTTGCTCCTTAAGGCTTGACTGTGTCCCGTACTTCTTTACAATTTTCATCCGCCTCTTAGGGTAACTCTCCTTCGTAGACAATAGCGATAGGGCAACTAATCGACAGTCTTCTTTCTCTAGTTTTTGAGGTGATAAAAAATGCTGATGCTTTTATCCGACTAACGGAATACTAAAAAAGCGAAACAAATTTCATCAAATTATAACGAATTTTAATTATTTACTGTAGTCACCCGTGGGACAATTATCCTCAATTTGAGGAAAAAATGAAAACGATTACACCCCGTCGCTCCAGTGGAATCTAAAACTGTCGAGATAGGTAATCTCCAGAGAATTTCGAACTAAAGCGGTTGTTTTAATTGTAATTTGCACCGGAGAGTGTATATGTTTGTGTGGAAACAGAGAAAGCCAAAGTGAACATGTTTTATGTTGTAAGTTTTGATGAGATAATCCTATATTTTGACATGAACGAGAACAGTTTATCCCGGAGATTAAATAGTGCGGTATCCAAAAATTTTTTTAGACAAATTGAGACATTGTTGGTAATTTTCTAAAAACTATTAAAAGATTGGTAATTTTTGGTATATAAAAAAATTTTTGCAAATCTATATAAAAATTATTTTTACATTTTTGGTTTTTCTTTTTGTGACCACCTGTTTTACAAAATTTGTCTTTAATAGATTCTATTTGCCGGATGTTGAAATCGTCAGCAAGGACTTTTTTTGTCTTGATAAATGATGGTAGGCAAGATCTGTACTTTTGGAGTACCATGATAAGTCGACCGTTTTCTGGCCAGAACCAATGGATCATGTCGCTTAAGAAACAACGTGTTATCAGGCGGCCAGTCCTGGGGAAACAATCAACGCAACCGATCCCGAGAGGGTTTTTTTTACCCAAATCCTCTTTTTTAAGACACATATAGTATCTCAGGGATCCTTTTGATATCTCGGCCTGGTGGGTGGATCTCAAAAACTAGATACCATAGGTGATGAACGCCTCGGGTCTCCATCTAACAACTTAGTAGAGAGGGGGGGGTTATAGCATTTGAACAGGCTCCGCCTCATGGGTTTGAATGCTTATTTATATATACTTTAGTTTGAGATACCCACATTAAAAAGGCCTTTCTCATGGATCCCAGTGGTGGATTGAAAACTCACTCTCAAAACAAGTTGCACGTTAACCCATTCAATCAGATTTATTATATGGATATATATATATATATTATACATGCATATATATATATAAGTGGCTTCCAACTCGTGTCCGGGTGATGCATTGCTTTTCCGATCTTTCAGCATATCTACACATTTGTTAAACGAATGCGGCTTTTTAGCCCATAAAGGGACTAGGATGAGGCTTCGTATATCTGTGCAACAGATGGTCATTTTTGGCGGCAATTTAAAATGTCATTCATATATATATATCATATAAATAATAATAATAACCATTATTATTATTATTATCATTATTTCCTTTGATTTCTGGTGTCTAATCATTTCTTTCCGGGTCCCAACCAGAGACATAAGGTTAAAAATGCCACGACGACATTCTCCACTGAATATGTTTTGAGAAAAACAAAAACAACAAAACAATCACAAAAAAGTAACATTGCCAACAATTTACATAGATAAAGCTCTTTGTAAGGCGTGGGCTGTACTTTTGAGTAGACAGTTTTATATTTCTTTAAGGCTTGGTCTACCAGGAATCCCTTCAATGAGTCTATCGGAACCTTTTCCAATCAATCCGAGTGCTCCAACTACAACTGGGAATCTTGTTGCCCACTAGTTCTACATTTTCGAGATTTCGATTTCAAGGTCCTTATATTTTGATAGGTTTTTGAAGATTTTCAAAGATACATTACATACTCCGATTTCAAATTCCGAGCCGTTATCCATTACCCCACCTGTACATCAAGACCTACAGCAGCTGGCATTTCCAAGAGGTCACTTATCTAGGCACTAACTACGCTCGACGTTGCTTAACTTTGGTGATTCTACGAGAACAGCTGTTTCAAGTGGATTTGGCTGTAAGCCAAAAGGAAAAGGAAATAAACAGAAAAGAATACAAAATAAAGAAAAGAGAAAGAAAAGAAAAAATTAAAGAAAAAGAGAGGAAACAGAAAGAAAAGAGAAAAGAAAAAGGTGACATAAGATGCACATAGACTTAAAGTTCAGTACGGTTCCGTAAGAGGTATATATATATATGTATATATATATATATATATATATATATATATATATATATATATATTCAGAGAGAGAGAGAGAAAGAGAGAGAGCACCTTATGTTTGTGTCGGGTCCATTAAAAATACAGCAATAAATAAATAATTGTACTATCACGGTTACGTGTTATTAAAAAATAAATAAAATGAATTATAGTTTCAAAAATAATTATAATAAAATAATTAAAACAATTATAATTATCATTAATTCTCTGATTCTAAAACAAAGAGAATCGACCGCACTACACGTCTAAACATTTGACATTCTCGCTATCGGACAAGCAGTTCACTCGGACAGGTCGTCAAAACGTGCGTCAACGAAAATTTCGTTTCCTTTTCAGGCCATAACAGTAACATTCATCTTTTAACACTCAACAAAAATTTGAGGTAAGAAAACCATAGACCTTTGTATTTTCCAACTATATTATCTGGACACTTATTACACACATCTATATATAAAAAAAGAAGAAAAACTATATACACTTTACCTATTCTTTATCTTATACTTCTTCCGGATTCCGATCCATGTTTGATCTACATTTGACCCAAAACTCACAATTTTACTCAGTAGTGGCAGCATGGCCCGGCGTTGCCCGTGCTTGATTCAAAAATCGTACGACTCATACAGCAATCGCTATCACTTGACTTAAAATATTTTTGCCCTTTCTTGCCTTTAAAGGAGTGCTCTTTGCCGTGCTGATGTTGCTACATGCCTTAATTCTTGCCTATCTCACACTGGGATTTTTTTTTAAGCTCTATAGTAAACATTAAATCTGTTACGAAAAAAAGAACTAAACAAAATGAACACAAAACGATCAGCTTTAAAAAGGACTGTAACTGAAAAAAACCGAATGAAAAAGAATGTTAACAACAAATACTTTTTTCACAACCAACCCAGTCCTGCGGAATCAGAATCAACGTTGAGTTTAAGCAAGCGAATGAGCCAATTGGAGTAAAGTGCCATGCAGATTTAAATTTTTCCACTTGCGACGAACGCAACCATCGATTTTTTTAACATTCATGTCAGTCAGCTGTTGGCCTCACGCTGGCCAATAGAATCTTCCTGCTCATTCATGGCAGCCAGCTATAGGTTCTCATTCTGGCCAGTAGAAAATGGCTGCAAACTACATGAAAACTGCTGTAGAAGCATGAAAAAATGATTATTTCCACTATCGATGGGAGTTAAATGCAAAGTCGGTCTTGGCCTTCTGCTACTAACTCTGAGCATGTGCATGTAAAGTTTGGCAAAACTGTCGACAATGGCGGCCCTGCTGTTACACACACACACACACACACACACACACACACACACACACACACACACACACACACACACACACACACACATCCTGCCTTTTTATAGATAGAGATTACTGTGTCTCGTTTCCCCAACACCATATAAAAACTAGATAATAAAGAATACTGTTATTTTTTTAACGTCTTGTTGTATTCTCATTTTTACGAGTATTTTTGTATATATAAATGTTAGGTGTGTTTATAATTATTTCTACTCAGAGTTATACCCTCATATATATATATATATATATATATATATATATATATATATATATATATATATATATATATATATATAATACTAATATGTATTTGCTTGTTAAATCCAATAATTTCGTTATTGGGGTAATAAAGAAAGAAATGAAATTTGATGAGAAGGACGAAGGGCTGAATAAAATGGACGAAAGGAAGAATGATAGAAAATAAAATGAAAATGGAAGAAAAATAAAGAAACATAAAAGGAAGATAAGGAAAAAAGAAAGAAAGAAAGAGAAGAGAAAGAAAGAATGAAGAAAGAAAAAGAAAAAAGAAAGAAGGAAAGACAGAAAAAGAAGGAAGAAAAAAAGAAAGAAAGAAAGAGAGAGAAAAGAAGGAAAGAATGAAGAAAGAAAAAGAAAAAAGAAATAAATAAAAAGGAAACAAAGAAAAAAAATAAGAAAGAAAGAAAGTAAGAATGAAAGAAAGAAAAAGAAAGAAGGAAAGACATAAAAGAAAGAAGGAAGAAAAAAGAAAGAAAGAAAGAAAGAAAGACGGAAAGAGAGAAAAAGAAAGAAGGAAAAAAGAAAGAAAGAAAAACAAAGGAAGAAAGAAAGAAAGAAAAGGAAAGAAGGAAAAAGAAGGAAAGAAAGAAAGGAAAAAGAAGAAAGAAAGAAAAAGAAAGAAGGAAAGACAGAAAAAGAAAGAAGGAAAAACATAGAAAGAAAGAAAAAGAAGAATGAAAGAAAAAGGAAGAAGGAAATACAAAAAAAGAAAGAAGGAAGGAAAAAAGAAAGAAAGAAAGAAAAAAGAAGAAAAAAGAAACAGAAAGAAGGAAAGACAGAAAAAGAAAGAAAGAAAGAAAAAGAAAGAAGGAAAGACAGAAAAAGAAAGAAAGAAGGAAAAAAGAAAGAAAGTAAGAAAGAAAAAGAAAGAAAGAAAGAAAAAAGAAAGAAAGAAAGAGAAGAGAAAGAAAGAATGAAGAAAGAAAAAGAAAGATGAATGAAGAAATAAAAAGGAAAGGAAGAAAGAAAGGAAAAAGAAAGAAGGAAAGACAGAAAAAGAAGGAAGAAAAAAGAAAGAAAGAAAGAAAGAAAGAAAGAGAGAAAAGAAGGATAGAATGAAGAAAGAAAAAGAAGAAAGAAATAAAAAAGAAACAAAGAAAGAAAGTAAGAATGAAAGAAAGAAAGAAAAAGAAAGAAAGAAAGACAGAAAAAGGAAAAAGGAAGAAAAAAGAAAGAAAGAAAGACGGAAAGAGAGAAAAAGAAAGAAAGAGAAACAAAGGAAGAAAGAAGGAAAGAAAAGGAAAGAAGTAAAAAGAAGAAAGAAAGAAAAAGAAAGAAGGAAAGACAGAAAAAGAAAAAAGGAAAAACATAGAAAGAAAGAAAAAGAAAGAAAGGAAGAAAAAAGAAGAAAGAAAGTAAAAGAAAGAAAAAGAAAGAAGGAAATACAGAAAAAGAAAGAAAGAAAAACAAAGGAAGAAAGAAAGAAAGATAGAAAGAAAGAAAAGGAAAGAAGGATAGACAAAAAAAGAAAGAAAGAAAAAGAAAGAAGGAAAGACAGAAAAAGAAAGAAAGAAAAAGAAAGAATGAAGGAAAAAAAAAGAAAAAAAAAAGAAGAAAAGCAATCAGAAAAGAAAAAGAAAAACAAAGGAAGAAAGAAAGAAAAAGAAAGAAAGAAAAAGAAAAGGAAAGAAGGAAAAAGACAAAAAGAAAGAAAAAAAGAAAGAAGGAAAGACAAAAAGAAAGAAAGAAAAAAAAAGGAAGAAAGAAAAGAAAGATAGAAAAGAAAGAAAAGGAAGAAGGACAGACAAAAAAAAAAAGAAAAGAAAGAAGGAAAGAAAGAAAAGGAAAAGAAAGAAAGTAAGAAAGAAAAGGAAAGAAGGATAGACAAAAAAAGAAAGAAGGAAAAAGAAGAAAGAAAGAAAAAGAAAGACGGAAAGACAGAAAAAGAAAGAAAGAAGGAAAAAAGAAAGAAAGAAAATGCAGCCAAATATAGAAAGAAAAATAGAAGAGAACGAATGGAAGAATGTCAGGTAAAAATATATTGAAATAAAGGAAAAAGGAAAGAAAAAAAAGTAAGAAGTGAAAAAGAGAGAAAGAAAATAAGAAATAAGGACAAGAAAAAAGAAATAGAAAAAGAACAAAAGAAGCTAAAATAAAAGTTAAAAAAAAACAATATGGAAGAGAAAAAAGAATGATTTGTTTTTTTACGGTTTATCACCTTTTTACAGGTTATTTAAATACAAGAATATATTCAGCTTGCAAGAAGTTTAGAGGAGATAATAATGATTTACTAATACAAGTCTTATAAATTAACCCAGGGCAGGGGAGAGATCCCCCCCCTTTACCCAAAGGGTATTTGCGCGTAAAGGAACCTAACGAACATTGATGGAATTGGAACTCGACTCTCCGATTACCAATTACGAAACGTTATCCAATACACTGCCCACACATCCAAGCTTACTGCACCTGGTATTCTCAAAATGTCACTACATCTAGATACTGACCAGGCTCAACGTTGCTTACCTCCGGTGATCCTACACGAACCGGTGTTTCAACGTCTACCGATCCTGACTCATATCTATCCGATTTTCCCTTTTATACATTTTCAATATAACTCATTGACTGCTTCCTTGTTTTTATTACCGTCTTCGGGAATTCCATTTTGCTACAATCAATTCCTCGAAGTTCCAACTGATTATCAGTTGGTTACCATATGTAATTTATTCAAATACTCGTCTCTTCTACTGACACTAGTCGATATAATTGTCTCTTGTTCTTTCACCAGAATAGTGCCTGTTAAGGATGACAGGAATTACTTACACATGAATCGGCAATTTCACCTAAGATTAAAGAATATACTGAGAATTAAAATGTCACTGCCTGGATCATTGCCGAGGATCGGTGTAAAATCTGTGCGATATAACCAACATAGTGTCAGTAGAACGCTTGTGTAACGAATATGTGACCTGCCTACTTACCTCGAAGTCGCATGCTCGTATCTTGGGAGAACTCAATTATGAATTTTATACATCTATTTGTTTTAACAGGGTGTTATAATAATTTTCTAAGCGTAGCTGGAAGTATGGATCGAAATCACTACCCAGTCGTAATTGATTTAACGAGACAAACTTTCTAACCATAACACCAAGCGAAGTGCACCAATGACTTTTTAAGCGCATCTTAGATGTGGTACAAGTTCGAACATATGGCGCATTTAGTGAAGATCGAACTCACTAAGTCGTAATTGTCCTAGCGAGGCAAACAAACCATTGCACTACGTCGATGTCCCCTAGTCGTTTTCTAAGCGCATCTTAGATGCGTCACGACGCCCAAAGTATGGGTCACTCAGTGAGAATCGAACTCACAACTCAGTCGTAACAGATTTAGAGAGACAAGCTTGCTAGGCCATTACACTACGTCAAGGTACTCGAGTTGTTTTCTAAGCATCGCATAGATATGGCATAAGACCGAAAGTCTAGAGACACCAGATAGGATCGAAGTCATTACTCACTCGCAATCATTCTAGCGAGATAAGCGTCTTAAACATTGTACCACGTCGACGTACCCATAGGCGGAGAAACAAAGCAGCATAGAGTTAAAAAAATCCCTCAGTTCATTATTATCTATCAGTGCAGTAAAAAGCGAATATGATATTTTGATGAGGTTTTTAATGTAACAAGAGTTCGTTGGTCGGTAATTTAATGTTCAATACAAGTTTCTATTGACGCTGAATCAATAGGTAAGTAAATATATGTAAGGGTTACTCGAGAAAGAAAAGGTATACATAGATCCGGTTTAGACTAAATTAAAAACGATAGACATGGATCTGGTTTGGACACTTCAACGTGGTGTAATAGTTAACAGGCTTGTCCCTCTAGATTAATTACCACTGAATAGTAATTTTTTCCCTCACTGGATGCCCTATATTTTCGGCCTTGTGTCACATCTAAGCTATGCTTACTCTAGAGTCAAGTAGTACACAATGGGCTGGGTTACACTAGTATCAAAAACGCAAGCATGGGTCTGGTTTACACTAGAGTAAGAAAATAAATATATGGCCGTTTTACGCTAGTATGTAAAATGTAAACATGGGATCGCTTTACACTAAAATCAAAGTGATACACATATGTCCGGTTTACGCTAAATTCAAAATGGTAGACGTAGGTTTGGTTTGAATTAGATTAAAAAAAATAGACATACTAGTGGTGTAGGCTGAACCCTGACTTGGTAACTATCGACATAGAGTGGGGTTGAATAAGTGATCATACACATGAAAATATTTCACATTTTTATTTGTAACATATTAAATTAATAAAACGGGAATATATCTACTGTATCAGATTGCATACTAAAAATGTATGCATATAAAACTAAATAATATTCCATGGTTAAGAAAATATAGCAATATTTAAATTTTTAGGGGTTTAAAAAATGATCGTACAGCAGACAAAAACATATTTTCTCCATTTAATATTTTGTAGTAAATCCTTTATTAAGTTCAACAGCAACCAATCTCTTCTTGTGTTCTTTAATTAACGATTTGCATACTTTAGTAGGTATTTTGTCCCATTCTTCCTGAGTAATTCTCTTCAGGTTTTTGATGTTTGTTGGACCTCTATCACGGATCTTATTTTTCAAAAACCTCCATTAATTCTCTATGGGCCATTGTAAGATGTTAAGGTTGTTATTAGCAAGCCAATTCTTCGTACTCTTAGCAGTATGCTTGGGATCATTGTTCTACTGGAAGATCGAATCAGGAGGAAGCCCAAGATTCTCTACAGAAAGCGATAAATTTTCGCTTAGGATTTGTTGATATATTTCTGCATTCATTCTACCGTCTATAATTGCTAGTTTGCCAACACCTCGCATCGAAAAGCAGCCCCAAACCATGATACTAACCTCACCAAATTTGACAGTTGGTATAGCGGTCTTGGGTGCGTATGCTTCACTGTCTTTCCTCCATACATGATTCAGGGAATTGCGACCGAACATCTCAATTTTACTCTCATCTGTCCAAAGAACTCTTTCCCAGTAAGAATTTTCCTTATCCTTATGCTCTGTCGCAAATTTCAACCTGGAATCTCTATGCCGTTTCAGAAGGAGTGGTGTCTTTTTTGGGCAGCGCGACTTTATACCGTCTCTGCGTAGTTCATTACTAATCGTTTGCTTATTTACGTTAACTCCTGACAAACTCAGATCATTCTGAAGGTCTTGTCTGATGGCCATTGGGTTATTTTGCATTAACTTTCTTCGTAATCTGGGAGAGATCTTCCTGGTTGCACCGGGTCTGCCTTTGTTCTCAACAATAAATGAACCAATTGTTGAAAAAGGTATGTTCGTGTCACTGGAGATGTTTCTGTAACTTTTTCCATTGTGCCATAGCTTAATAATTATCTCTTTTTGAGCACAAGTCATTTCCTTACGTCTAGCCATTATTAGAACCGTTATCAGTGAACAGTGACTGCAGAATGATCCAATTTTGAATTGAATGTTGCAATAGAGTTACTGAGAATATTCTAGAACAGTTTAGAATCTTCTACTTTGAAGTACAACCGAAATCTACCGTATTATAATGCAAAAACTAATACTGTACGAACACTTTTTCCACTATTGAAAATATAAAAATTTGCATAACTATCACTTATCGATAAATTTCTAATTTTAATTTTTGCAGATTCTGATTCTAGGCCCCAAAATACATAGATAACATTGTTGTTCAAGGTTTTCATTCGCTATAAGTGAGAATAACAAGCATTTGTTTGCTGTAGAATCACTTACTCAACCTCACTGTAAATATTTTCTACTGAATCAAGTATTGCATTAAATACATATCAAGCTGTTTTTGTACGAACCCCCTACTGAAATTTTTTTTCTCTTTGATTTAAATTTGAACAAAGGAATCATTCCTATCCAAAATATAGTATGAGAAAGCCAGAAGATGGAGGTCACATCGGCAAGATCATTGAGTAATATTGAAATGCATCATTTTTCTCAACAAATTATAACAATGATTTAAAATCAATCATCGTTATCTTACAAAAATGTGACACGTAGCTAAAGTGTAGTGCAACAAAAGTACTCTTACCTTATGTATGTGTATATATATATATATATATATATATATATATATATATATATATATATATATATATATATGTGTGTGTATGTGTGTATATATATATATGTATGCGTGTATGTGTTTATATATATATATATATATATATATATATATATATATATATATATATATATATATATTATTGTCTGAGTGAAAAGAAAGTATATACTTACTGAACTTATTTGGGGTATCGTCTTCTACAGCGAATATAGCCCCAAACCTACATTTTAACTTGAAAATTTGGGGGTCGTCTTATACGCCCAATCTCCTTGTACGCCAGCATATACGCTCGGTCCAGTTTACATTTACATAAACGGTAGGCATAGGTTCGTTTTATATTAGATTAAAAATAGTAGACAAATGTTTGGTTTGCACTAAAGTCAAAAATATAGATATAGGTCCAGATCACACTCGATTCGAAATGATAGACACCCGACCAGTTCACCCTAGAGTAAAAAAAAAAAAGTGTACCACGGGTCTAGTTGATATTCACATCAGCAAATATCCACCCGCATGGTCGTTATTTTGGTAGGTAACTTACCCTTCTCTAGGTGACACAGTTACCGTATTCTAAGCTTCTCGTAAAGGGCAAATTAAATTTTTAACTCTAGTTTTGCAACCTTAATTTAATATTTTATGAATACTGTTAACTCTATTGTCACACTAAGAAAAAGTTGATTTGAAAGCATTACAAGTAAATTTACCAAAAGAAAGTTAATTTGAAATCAAGGACACAAAAAACGTAAGATTAGCAATCTGTTTGCTTACTGAAATCAAATAATACTTCATAAAAATGAAATATCTTATAACTAAATAGAGAAGATCATACTGCGTGACCGATAAATATCTAAAGTCATATTGTCTTTTATATTATACAAAATATAGAAAATAGTTTGGTACATTTATTTAAACCTATTTTCTCTTATGAAAATAGCATGTGTGTGTACGCGTCTGTTTGTGTGTGTCTGTATGCTGACATATCTTTAGACTACTGAAATGATGTCTTATATTCTATCGCCATGATCGCTCTCTCAACATGTGGCTGTGTTGCATTGTAGCACTCTGTTAAAGCATCTGAAATATCTAAACTAACGCAACGAGGACAGAAGCCTTTCAGATCGGAGATACGGCCGTTTTAGAAAAGTATAAAGTGAAGAGGAGAGAAAACAAAATCATAATAGTGAATAAGAAAACAGATGCATATAAATTCATCTGGGAACTAAACAAAAAATCTACTATAGAATAAGAAAGCCTCACGATAATGTGTGCTTTCGATTCTTCGCGAAGAAAGTGAGCTTTCGAAACTTCGGAAAAAAGATATGCTTTGGAATCTTCGGAAAGAATATATGCTTACGAATCTTCCTAAAGAATATATGCTTTAGAATCTTCGAAAAAATATATACTTTCGAATCTTCCGAAAGAATATATGCATTAGAATCTTCGGAAAGAATATATGCTTTCGATTCTTCGGAAAGAATATATGCTTTGGAATCTTCCGAAAGAATATATGCTTTCAAATCTTCGGAAGGAATATATGCTTTGGAATCTTCGGAAAGAATATATCCTTAGAATCTTCGAAAAGAATATATGCTTTGAAATTTTCGGAAAAAATATATGCTTTGGAATCTTCGGAAAGAATATATGCTTTGGAATCTACGGAAAGAATATATGCTTTTAAATCTTCGGAAGGAATATATACTTTCGAATTTTTGGAAAGAATATGTACTTTGGAATCTTCGGAAAAAATATATGCTTTCGATTATTCGTGAAGAATATATGCTTTCGAATCTTCGGAAAGAATATATGCTTTCGAATCTTCGGAAGGAATATATGCTTTCGAATCTTCCGAAAGAATATATGTTTTTGATTCTTC